TGCTCCTTCATCCTCCTCTTTCTCCTTTTCCTTTGTCTTTGGATTGCACTGGGCTCACACAATTTTTTTCCCCCCCCACAAAATCCTATCCTCTCACTTTCAGCTGCTTCCCCACAACCTGGACACTGGAAGTGAAGGCTTTCCTCTCCTTGGACTTTAGCTCCTGCCTAAAAGATTCCAGTAGGCAAGAAGGAGGTTTTCAGAGGAGAAACTGAGATCGGGAACAAGAAACTGAGATCAAGGACGTACAGAAATAAACACACAGAAATAAAGTGAAAACCCAGGAGCCCTCCACTAAAAAGGGCACAACGTTGTGCCCAGCTCTTTTCTCCAACCCCACACCTTTTTCCTGCACTTTTACTCATTTGTTTTGCTGTTTCACCATCACCATCATCTGCTGCCCACTCTCTGCCTCGCTGTCCTCACCTGCCAGGGAGGAAGGGGCTCCACACTCTTCCTCCTGTCCCACTCCATCCGAAAGGTGCAGTATCCCTTCAATTTGCCATCCAGCCCTTCTGCCAGCAGAAACACCAGCTCTCTGCCTCCCTCTGCCCAAGGAATTGTGCCCAGGGGCAGCAGCAAAGCCAGAATCACTCAGCAGCCAAGCAGGATCCCTGCAGAGGAACCCAAGCCCTGCTTACTTTGGAACATGTGAGCCTGACCCTGGCGCTAGGGAGAAAGCCAAAGGCAACACATCACTTTGTTTCTGTTAATAAAATGGTGCTTTTGGTCTGTTTTATTTCTGCACACTGCTCTCCCCTCCTCCCAGCCCAACACATCACATTCCCAGGGTGAGGGACTGAGGCTGGAGCTGTGTTTGAAGAAGGGGAGCTGCTGTTCGCTGGAGTGCCTGTGTTGTGTGCAGGTCTGTGAGCACACCCATGTCTGGGAGAATCTTTGCAAAGCTTGAAGGCATAACCTGCACTATGAACAGGCTTCCTTCCCCCTCACACACACACACACATCACTGAGACTGGTGGTGGCTCTGTGAATTAAATATTGCTGGCACGTTACAACAAACATCACCATTAGCATTGCTGAGTATTAATTTGAGGAAGTCCCACCGAGTCCTCTGCAAGGATACACAGACCTCCAACAAGATTAAGACACCCCAACACCACCCAAGAGGAGCCCCCCTCTCTCCTGGTGTCTTTGGAATCCAGTTTCTCCCCAGTGCTCTCTGCTGCTCCCTGGGTGCATCTGCTCTGTTTCTTTGGCCATGATCCCTTGGGAGCCTGCTGGCTTCAGAAACCAGCTCTGCTTCTCTCCAAAGGTGAGGAGATTTAAACTCGATTAAATCCTTCTGAGACACAAACCCCATCACTCAGGATCACTTTGTGAAAGCATCCTGTCCTTGGCATCCCAGCACAAGCAGGAGCTGCTGCCAGGCAGCTCAGATACCTGCAGGGGCAGAGCCCAGCAAAGGCTGCTGCAAAACAACCCAGGATTTGACTCTGGGTGAATTGAACTGTAAATTCACAGAGTAATTGCTTGGGCAAACTTGCTTGAAAACAGACTCATGCCACAGAATACTAAACTTGTATGGAAGGCACACAGCACTACATCTTTTTAATTTTTTTTTTTTTTTTTGGCCTAAAAAATAAGACCAGCAAGGCAGTTTATCATGGGGCTGTTTTTCTGCTGTTGTTCCGAACAGAATCCGTTTATGTGGACAATTCCAACTGTGCTTGAAAAACAGAGACGGCAAAAACAATGCAGAAGGCAGCTCCTGATGTTTGCAGAGATGCATGAGGTGAATGTACCAGAGCTGCTAATCATCCCTTTTGACTGCTTTTATGGGTCTGGGAAGCCTAAAAAAACCCTGTGTGTGAGAACCAGTCTGCATTTTGGAATAACATTTCCCTTTTGATGACACAGAGAAATGGCATTTAGATGCTGCTTTGACAGATGCATTATTTTATTAGAGGATTTCAAGCAGGCAAACAGAGGAGCTTTGTTCTCCCTGTTACTGTAAGGTTTACATCATCTGCAACCTTTCTACCAGGAGGTCTCATTTCAAATGACAGTGAATATTGTTCTGAGAAATGCAGGATTTCATCTATTCTAGCTCCATTTCTTGGTGCTTTCCTGGTGATGGATTTCACTCTCCTCAAAAGATTATTTGCTGACACCCGGGGTAAGTTTAGAGCCTTCAGGGACAAGGATTTGTATGGGAATTTAATCTATATAATCCAGCTCTAACACAGGTATCAGTCCTAAACCAAATATCCTTGGGCTTCTCAGCCTGCACCCCAGATTTGTCAGTCATGCTAATTCTGCCTTTTTGGGCTGGGGACATCTATTTTGAGAACTGCCACTGTGAAAATCAGAGCAAGGAAACCCAAAGGTTTCTATTTTTCTCTGCACAGATTTACAGGCAGACACACAAACCAGCTGTGATAGTGGATCTCCCTTGGTGCCAAGCAAGTAAGCAAAATTTGGAAGAAAGAGCACATTTTTGAGACATTTTTTGACCTCTTTTGTTCTTTTTTTACCATATTTTCTTCCTTTCATGTAACTGAGAAGCTGCAGTCAGAGGGAGAGGAAGGTTTATAAAGACTTTTAACAGCAATGGCTAAATTGAATCCCATTATTACCTCTCAGTATAAAACTAAACCTGCAGATTCTGCCACAGGACACAACATTCAGCTGCTTCCAACCAGATGATCTGAGCAATTTAAGAATAAAATTCAGAACCTGCTGTACTTACTAAGCTGAAGCCTCATGTGGCCTCTGGTGAAATTGGGTGACTCAGACTCGAATATAATACTCTGCCCTTGCAGCAGGAATAACAGCAGTGTGTTTGGTGGAAGATTGAGAGGTTTTGCCTGTGTCCTTCAGCTGTGATGGGCTGCCGACACCAAGCACCCTTCACATCCCAGGGAAGAGAAGCTGAGCACTCAGACATCACTGACCACTTTGTTTCAATACACCAACTCAGGCTGCTGCTTCCATTCTGGCCCCAACTCTGGAAGCAGCTGCTGGTTTCTGAGTAACCCATGAAATTCACACCACCTGTTCAGGGTTTAGGTACCAGATATACTGAAAATAACCCCAGCCTGGTAACAGCATTCTAAAGTCCATGGCAGTACATGTGAAGTCTGTTTAGTGTCCTCCTCTGCTGAAACAAACAACTGGACCAAAGGGAATATTGTGGAAATGTGGGTATTTGTCAGCTGCTTTGTAAGAAGAGGGAGAGAAACCCTATCCCAGTATCACCATGAGGTGAAGAAAACATCCTTAAAACCCTCCACATTAAGTACAGTATCAAGAAACTCGGCACACATTTTTGTAGCTGATCTCCTGGCACAGGAATTGAGCAGGATCCTGAAATATGCTGAAGAAAGTTTGGCTCTTGTATTCCCAGTTTACAGAGCAGTCAATGTTTCACTGCAGCAAAGGGTAGCTGGTAGACAAGAGGAATTACAGAGGAAAAAAAAAACAAAAAAACCCACCCTAAGCATCAACTAAATTATCTCCTTAATCCAAACTGGAAAATAACCAAAAGAAGAGAGACAAAGAAGGAAACAACTAACACTTTAGAACAACCCAGTTTATTAAATCTTAGGCAGTGAGACACCTAACCCTGCACTTAAGGTCACTGGACATGAGGCTGAATTATACCAGCAGTTAAAAATCCTCCCCTTCCCTCTCCCCAGCCATGACAGCCACGTTTTTAACTCAGCATGGCTGCAAATGCAGCTCAAGGTCCCCAGAGCAGCAGACACAACCCCAAGAGTGTCTGCAGCCCCTGCAGGCTGTGACAGAAGGGCAGGACATGTCCCCACCATCCCCTGTCTGCTTCCACAGAGCAAAACAAAACCCAACCAGCCTTGCTCCAAGGTGAGCAATCAGAACATCCTATCAGAGGTTGGGACAAACCATGAAATAATCTAATTTAATCACTTACATAATACCCAGGCCATAAATTTAGTTCAGACCAGAGAACGCCATCATTACCAATTCTGAGTGTCATTTGATGGAATTGTGATCAATCTTCCCCAAATTAATTCTGTATGAAAACCACCAGCCTCCAATAGCTCTAAACACCCTCTGATTTAATTTACACTCTTACACCTGCCTAATCCTGAGCAGCACTTTTTGCACCCCAGCCATCAGAAACCTTCCAGCAGCAACCAAAGAAGCCCGGGGATGAACATGGTGAGTTCAGCCAGAGTCTGAGGCAGCACAGCATTGGCACAAACACACGTGGAGGATTCCCACTGAATTCTAAGGATGTCATGCCAGAAGCACATGCAATAATCTCCTTAAACGAATGGCAGAATCCCTTCTGGAATTTCCCCTACTAGCAAAACACACGGGATTGAGGCTTGGTGCACAGTGGGTTCAGAGAACTTACAGGTAGAAGTCGTCTCAAAGTGATTTAGGAACACGACACTGCTGTCCCTGCTACTTATTTACCTTCTTCCCACCCTATAAACCCTTCCTACACACAAACAACCCCCCCTGCAGCGAGTCCAGCAGCAGCCAGGGGCTTTCACAAAAGATTTTCACAAGGGAGGCTCCTGCTTCCTATCAAGCAGAACAGAAACTGGGATTTGAGTCTCTCTTCTTTTATAAAATATCCCAGCTATTATTTGTCTATTCCTAGGAGGCACCTCAGGCACATTTTAGTCAGAAATTCTGTAAGCAGAAGCTGTTTTCCTTTCCAATCAGTTTTTCCCCAGCACATCTGTGGCTTGGACGTTGTATGTCAGGCAAAGGCACAAAAAAAACCCCTCAAACATTTTAACAGAATCCAGACAATAAATGCTGGGAGATAATCAGAGCTAGAGAGAAAGGATGAAGCTTTTCCATGTCAGTTCCATATATACCAAAGGGCAAGCAAGGCAGATAGCAAAAAAAGTCACCTTAAAAAGTCACCACAGGAGCCACTCTCAGCCCCTGACTCATGCAAATGTCCCTGCAGGGATGTCTGTCCTTCCAACCAATAAATGGAGCATGTCTTCATGGAGATGTAAAAGATAAACACTCCTCTGTTTAGATTTGAATATATTTTTATTCAACACATGGATGGTGAATGGATAAAATTCACAATAATCAGCATTAAAAAACCAACAAAGCAACCCTGCAGTCGCACTTAAATTTGGCTGTACCTACTGGTCACTCACATTTTTACATACAAAATTTTGTCAGTCTTGCCCATTTCCAGATTAATAGATATAGACACTTGATACTAACAAAACACACAGTTTATTCACCATTTGGGGGACATTTAGGGTTTTTTAAAGAAGAAAAACAAATCTTTGTCTTTTTGTCCAACAAATTTGTAGCTTGGAGGAACTGAAATGTAATCTCTCATTACCCCATACCCGAGTCACTGCAGTGCAAAAGCTATTCAAATAAATAAATAAATAACAGCAGCAGCCCCAACAAGTAAAACCCAAAACACACTTAAGTATCTTCAGAAATGCAACCAAAAGCTTTTTAACCTCAGGCTTCAGCCCACAGGGGACAGCTTCTCAAAATCTGAGTGCAGCAGAGTTTGAACTGTTTCAGTAAACCAGTATAAAGCTCTACACATAATTTTGGGGGAGGGGATTGGAATCCCCAGCTAAAGTGGTCCTCCATCCATCTCTCCCTCCCCACACAGGCATTGAAGTTGTGCCAGCACAGCTCTTCTCAGGTTGCAATGTTATTTTTGCCCCATCAGAGGCTGTTTCAGCAGTGCCCGAGGTTCAGCCTGGTTCAGTGAGGAGCATTTCCCATTCCAGGAGGATGGAAATCCTTTCAATGAACGTTACTGCACAATTCTGTCACATTTAACCACAGCCCAAGCACAGCACAGATTTTTGAGTTCGTATGTTGAGCATCCTCCCTGCCTTACTCAAAATGTGTGAGGTCAGCCTTCCAGCCAGGTGAGTGCAGGGACAGGACCCTCCTAGAGCTCCCTGCAAGGACCTGGCACCTTCCCTAAGTCCCTGTGGGTCTGAGGTCATCCCTGCACCTCTGCTCAGCAAAACAGTGGAAAAACTCAAAGACTGAGCAGGTACAAAACTGGAAATTAAGTGTTGCCAGCAGCTGATGGGACATTCCTGAATATTTTGCAGGGCTTTTAAAGTGTTTTGCTAATCAAGTGTAAAGACTCTTGCACTGTCTCACAAAACTTAAGAGCATAGAGCAAGACAAAGGCCTAGAGCTTTAATAAATACAGTTAAGGATAACACACAGTTTAAATTACCTTATCTTTGTGATCTAGGTATAAACACCCCATACAAAAAAAGATTTCTTTTCACTTTGTACAAAACATTAAAAAAAAAAATAAATCACAAAAACATTCTGTTTGCAAAGCAGACAGCTGTACAGAGAAATGATATGTTCTGAAGACATTAAACCATCTATTTTCTGGGTAGCACTAGGTACTCAAATGTTCTCTTACAAACTACCACCCACACAGGTAATTTTTCTTCTCTGATATTTTGGCTCCAAATCTGAAACCCAGAGCCATTTGAGAGAGATTTCTGGATATTAAGGCCCAGATCTGACAATGACTTCCACGTGCACACACCAGCACTGAAACCCTACAGAGACCCCTGTGCCAGCTCCACCTGCTCAGTCCTGTGGTGCAGAAGCACAGGACAGCTCACAGCTCTCTGCCACCCCAAAAAAACCCCTCTCATGTCAGCCCAGCCTAGCAGAGCAGCACAATTCCTTGACGTTTGCACAACCGTTTTATAATGCCCTGAAAAATCATTAGAGCCCCCACTGGAAATTCTGACTCATAAACTGCTTTTTGCTGCTTAGAACTCCTTTTTTTTGTATAATCCTAATGGAGGACTAACATCTATCCAGAGGATCCGTGAAGACTGCTAAGTGCAGTACACAGGAAGAGTAAATTTTATTTTATAACCTACCAAAAGGCTGGATGCTGTCCTTGGGAAGTAGAACTGTAGCTAAAAACTAATAATACAGTGGGGTGATTATTGTCTGAGCAGCTTCAAATACTAATAGTAGCACACCTTAATAACCAGCTGATATTGTCCTCTATAAAGTGATGCTCTCAGCATACACAAGATGACATAAGAGACACATACTATGCTCACTGACACTGGGACAGTCATTCATACACTGCTAAAATTTCAACTTCCTCCTGCTCTAGCTTTGCCTTGATTTTTGGCAAATACACAGTTCATATTTTCGATTAAAAACATCCTATCAAAAGAAATAAAAAAGGCACTTGGTATTTCTCTTTGGCTCAGTTGAGGCATGCTGCTGAAACCTTCCCCAAGTCCCCATTTCTTCATCTGGTGAACAGTTGCCATCCTGAGGTACTTAGTCATGTGCAAAAATCAGAGCTCCAGGGATTTACCAGCTGCTCCCAGCAAACCTGCAAGGCTCTTCACCACACTGAGACTCTTTAAATACAGGATAAGGTGTTTGGTTTTCAGGGAAGAGCTCCATCCATTGGCACACTCCTCATCCCAGCTCTGGTCTCGTGGCTCAGTGCTCTTTGAACCTGGGGAAGAAGAGCAACCAGGCAGGAAAAGCTGAGCTGTGGGGCAGAACAGACACCAGAAGGCAGGACCCAGCCCCTGCTGTGCATTTTTCTATTCTCTCCATCTTACTTCTCCAAAATTCTACAATCAAGGAGCTCAATTCAGATTTTGTGAATTGATTCAATGGATTTTTTTTTTTCTCAACTCAAAATAAATTCAGAGTCGCCCTCTTCTTTAAAGAGAACTTTTGGAAAAAGTTACATTTTAAATTATTATTAAACACAGGGCAGGCAATTCCCCACCTGCACAATGAAACCCATGGAGGCTTCAATATTTGGGAAAAAAAATGCCACAAACAAGAGACTGTGACAGAGATGTGTTTTCAGATATTTTTCAAAAGAATATGTTCTAAAGCAAAATGTCCATGGCTTGAAAACATGAAACTGAGGTTACTCTTTTCAAACAGAATTAAATCAGATAGAAATGGATATACATAAACCTTAACATGTCCAGTCTATATTTAGGTATTATGGCACAAAGGTTGGAATTATCTTGGAAGTCTTTTCCAAACTTAATGATCATTTATAGTCATAAATATATGGAAGGCTTAGAAATGTGTTTTCAAAGTGTTTATTAAAGGGCAGCAGCCATACAAAACACTTACAGGCTGTGATCTGCATGACACTGAAGTTCCTTCTGGATAAGACGGAGTAAGAGCTGCAAAAACAATCACAAAATCTCCTTTAGTATCATCCAGATAAACAAGAAGCAGAATTATTTATTGTTATTTGGAGAGTTTGTAATTTAAAACATTACTCTGTAATGCTGAACTCAGTTAAAAAAAAAAAAAATGAAGATTTACAGATGCTCAGTAATGTTTGGAAGAGGAGCTTTCACAACAAGAAGGCAAGAGGAAAATAATTTCCTTTTTGCATCAGAGAGGTCAATTTCTTCATAAAATCCACAATGGTTTTCTGGTTCCTTTACCAGCAAATGTGTAAAGAAACCAGCAGAGGGACCTCGAGGCTCCAAAAAAAAAAAACGTGTCAGAAAGAAATTCTGGAGCATGGAAGTATTTCAGCTGCTATTTGCAAAAACAGCTCTGTGTATGAAAAGCTTTAATCCCACAATTAGTCAAGGTGAGCACAGACAGTCACGTTTGCTTGTCTGTGCAGCATCAGGGCTTGGAGGAAAGTGATTTTATAAACACAATTTGATGGTTCTCATACACATGAAAGACAGAATTGGAGCTTTCAGGGTTCTTCACTGTTTCAGGTTATGTTATCATCAGAACCTCACTATTATAAATATAAGTTTGCTCACTGTTTTAAGTATGAATGTTTTAAGAGCTTAAATATTTTCAGAGGCACAGAAGTGGCCAAGAATGACAGAACTGAACACCACATAAGAGGCTAAAGCCCCCTCCAATGTTTTTATTTCTTGGAGAAATAACATTTGAACACAGTTATCCATATGCTGCACTGCAAAAACCAGGAAAAGCAGAACAGTTATGCAAAAAAGGATTTATTACAACTGCAGAGTCCAACTTCTCAAAACCAGAGCTTTGCAAAGGCGTTTTAATTGATTTTGCCAAGAAATGTGGCATCTTTTCATTTTAATCCATAACTTTAAGAGAAAAAAAATGAGAACTTTATCTAGGAAAAATATGACAACTTCCCAAGCCTCACTCTGCAGCACGAAATACCAAATACTGAAACCAGCACAAACCAGGACTTGTTGATGTGGATAAAACTGCTGACTACCAGTGGCAACACACATCACCTATTAACTTACCTAATAAATTATATTAATAAATTTATTTAATTTCCAGAGAATTACTTCTAAATATGAAAAAAATTACTTTTAAAGTTGCATTAGAAAAATACTTTTAAAGTTGAATTAGGAAAAAAGCCTCAGTTGTAACTCAAAGGCTTCCTGATTTCCTTGTGTCAGGAAGGGAATGGTCTGACACTCTCAGCTCCTCTGCAGGAGCCCAGAGCTCAGGGCTTTGCACCAAGCCACCACCTGTGTGCTCTTTTTTTCCCCAAACATCTGCTCCTGGTTACTGTCAAAAGCCAGGATTGCCAGCTCTTCATCTAACTTACTACAGCTGTTTCAGGCCCCATCTGGAAAATGTGATGTATTAACTTTCAACAGCTTCATTATCAGGGTGATTTTGGTGATACAATAATGCAGGAAAACATTTTTTATGGCTTTGATAAACTGGCTTTGAAAGAGAACAGAAGTGATTTTTCTGAGAGTGGAATCTGAGGCAACTTCTAGGTCTAAATATGAAGGTTTACTTGCAATTATGCCTGCTCTAAGCTGCTCAGCCAGCAATTAACAGCTGGGTATCTGCTCAGGAACTGAAGTGCATCAGAACTGATCTGCACTTTTGATTAAAATTAAATGAGAATTTCAAAACAAGCAAATTTGCTGTTAGACTGAAAACCTCCTACACCACTGGAAGTCTAATACAACACAGAATATTGAAAATATTTGAATAGAATATGGCAAAAGGACAATTTGTATTTTGGGATAGTTTAGCCCAGAGGAAATACACATCATCTAAATTTTTAGACTTACTAGCAAGGCACATGCATCTGCCACCATGAGCATGTAAAACACGTTGTTCCAGCCAGAAGGGGAAATAAGGCCAGCCAGAAGAGGCCCCAAAGCTGCACCTAAAATATAATACTGGCATTATATTTTGGTATTTTATATTATATACAGTCAGAACTGTGCAATGTAAGATTCACTGTACTAAAATTATTAAATGTATTAAATGCAGTTATTCTGAATTAAGAGTATCAAATTTTCCACCTAGTTTACTCAGTACTACCTGATGTATTAAAAAGTCTCAGGAAATGCAAAACATTACTGGTATAGATGGGAAGCTGGAGGACTTAGATGTGTGATAAACATCTGCCTTTGGCTCAGCAAAGTGCTCATCCAGTACTGAGCTGAATTTTACTGTTCTCCCTTCCACATGGAGGGCATAAATCAAACATCCCTGATCCCAGGACAGCCCCGTGCCATCTCCTTTTGCTGTCTGTGCCCAGACTCAGTGATCCCCCCCTTCCTCCCACCCTCAGGTGTGGGACCACTGGAGGTTTCAGGTGAACTCTGTGCTATTCCCCATTTCCAAAACTGCTCTGAGCCCTGGTAAAACGTGACCTGGAGAAGCCACTTTCTCCAGAATGCTTTGTTTGAACCTGTCAGAGCTGGGCCAGGGGGCCTTGGCTTACCCACAGACCCTGTCCCATCGATGATTGCTGTCACTGTGGACAAGGCTCTTGCATTCCCTTTCAGGCTTTTATGGGTTCCCTGCAGGACAGAGATGGATTAGACCCATCCTGAGCTCTGAGAAAGCCCTGAGAGCACCATCCATCTCCCACCCCTGCACACGGGATCAGTGTGCTGGAGATGCCCCAAGCACCTTGCAGTGCCAGCCCCCCGGACAAGGCTAAGGGTGAAACGGGCACTGCCTGGTGGCACCTTGGTCCTGCCAACACCTCCAGGCCAGGGACAGGGCTCCAGAGGATGCCTGGAGATTCCTGCCCTGCTCCTTTTCCTGTATTTAAAACATTCTTGCATTTAAGACAATAAGAGAGGACTTTTGCCTCTTGCTTGGTGCCCTAAAGACACATTACAAAACAAACTTCCAAAGTCTCCCTACTGAGCAATGTTAATGTTTCCACATGGCATTTGTGACCTGGCTGACCTGATCCTGCTGGAAGTGCTGGCAGCTTAAGTACCTGGACTTTTTATTTTCACATACCTTTACTTCTGTAAAGGTCTGTGCCAGATAGAGCTTTCTGATGGGAATTAAATCACCAGCTCATGTCTGTCACAGGTACAGATCCTCCAATAATTTAAAAACGCAAAATATAAAAGGGGACAAGGCACCTGTACAGAGGCCTGGCTTTGCATGCAACCTTCAGCTTCAATCTGGGCTGTCACCCAGAGTCTTGTGAGTGGTCAAGAATCATTCAGAAGCCTCTCACAAGCATGGCACTCATTCATACTAAAACACAAACCCTAAAACACATCTCAGTGGCTGAGTTCAGCACTGCCTTTCCAGCTCCTTTCTCCTTGGCTTTGGGACAATGCAGCCCCTTCCCTGGTGACCCTGCACAAGTCAAAGGGCTCTCTCTGGAGCCAGATGTCACAGGGGAAGCCAAACTCACCAAGTCAGCAGAGACAGCAGTGGTGATCAGGGCATAAGGGCCATTCACCAGGGCACCACTGATAAGCAGCATCACTGTTCCAAGTCAAAAAAACCAAACGAAATTGTGAGCTGCATGAAAAACTGTTCACCATAACAGGAAACATCACAGCCTGTGTTCCCAAGTGGTTTAATCCTCCCTTGGCTCCCCTGACCCAATACAGAATTGGGAAAGGAAGAAAACCAACATCCCTTCCTCTCTCTTTTCAATGCTTAGTCCATGATGTGAATTCTCAAACGTACCAGAAGGTGGGGCTGAGACAAAAAGCATTTCCCAGGGTCTTTAATGATCCTGGTAGGTCATTAAATCATTAATGATCCTGGTAGAAAGGGGAATATTTGACCAAACTGACCACGAGGGCAGGAGTTATTCACAAAATACACCCACAAGTCCCTTCTGTCCTTGAGAACCCTAAAAGTGAACGAGGCTTTTGGATGGGTGAGACACCACTGCCAGCACTTGTGTTTTCATTTCTGGTTTGATAAGCATAACGTTAATGGTGCTGTCAAAAATACTACAGGCAATATTTAAACATCTCTGACATTTGGCACAAGAGATATAAAAAGCCTGTGCTGACACAACAAGCTCCAGAAAGACTAAAGACATTAACTAAATCTGTTCTCTTGCCATCCCTTACTCATTTCCTACCTTCCCACTTCAAACTGCAAAAAGCCTGCAAGACCAAATCTAAGGAATTTGATTCCATACTTCCTCCTCAAAGGAAAAGATAAAATAGAAAACAAAGGGGAAAAAAAAAGGAAAGAGCATCAAAGGTCATAAATGTAAAGTTCATAGAAAGCTAGGCAGAATAATTTAAAAATACTCACCTACAGTAGCCTCAAGGCCCATTTTACTGACTGCAGAGAACATGTAGAGCTGTAAAGAGAATAAATAAGCACTCAGAAGACCAACATACAGACTAATCCTGGCTCCCCATTTGCCCCACGTTAACTACAAGATATCTCAGTTGGTATTACATGAAAGTTCCAGGTTTTACTAAACCCTTTCAGGCCACAGTAGCATGATTGTTTAATTGGACACAGAAGGAATATAAGGGGTAGGATCCCATTCCTCTATGTCCTTTCAGAAGGAAGGGCTGTGTTGTGAGACCACTCAGTTTTAAACTCTCCAACTGAAGCTTCAATACAGCACAGAATACAACTCATGAAAAAATCAAATAAAAATGTCTCTCTCATGTTCATCTGCTGGTTTGCCAACAGTTACAGCTCAGAAATTTTAGCCTTTGAGCAACTAAAATTCTGGCTAACAACTGAATACCAAATTTTACAAGGCAGTGAGACTTCCCATATATTCTGTAACAAAAAAATACATTAGACTTGTTTGCTTGTTTAGCAAACAAGCTTGTTAGCTTGTTTACCCCAATATCTACACTTGCTCAACTTTTCATGCCAGTTTTTAATCTGTCCTGAACTCTTTACATCCAGGCTGGGAGATGCTGCCTGCAGAACTGTCCAGGGAACGGTGCCACAGCTTCAGCCATGGCTGAGAGAGGGGCAGGCTCTTACTGTGGGTGCTGCAAGCAGCAACATCATCCCGCAGGTTGATGCTCTCTTCTCCAGCCTGTCTGAAATGAGACCTGCCAAAATCCCACCTGAAACAACACACAGGTGTGAGGAAAACATTTAGTGAGTTTTGCACAAAAGGTATCAGTTTAATTTAATGAAACAGAACCCAATGGCTTTTACTGCTTAGTTACACAATTCACACAGCAACCAGTTTTGACCTGAAGACAACAGAAGCAGACACTCCTCATTATTTATTCCAAATATCCAAGGCAAAAAACCTTTTACCAGGTGCCACATGGCCCTACTGCTGGAGTTCTGGTATCCACTCACTGGTCTCTTAATTCCTCACATGTAATAGAGAACTTGGCTCTGCCCATGTCCACTGCAGCCAGGGAAACAAACCAAACTGTCTGCACTGGCATGCATTCAAAATGAAATGAAAATTTATTCAGTGGTCACCTTGAAAATTATAGAGGAATAGCCTAGTCCTTATTATTGTTATGATCTCCCAACTTTATCACATACAGTTTTATAAGTTTGATATTTTTTATATCAAGAAATAAACAAACCAAAACACCTGTGGCCATTAACCTTTGTGCCCATGAAACCCACACCACTGAACAAACAGGGACAGCTCTCTTAAGTTAGGCTGACAAAAGGATGTATTTTGATGGGTGGTGACCAAGACTCATGGGTCAGAGCTGACAGAGGTAAAAGATTCCATAATTTGACTATTCCAGTCTGTGCTGGACAGTATCACTGGCTGTGAAGGTATTTTACTAGATTTTCACTTTTCAACACAACTCTTAGCTCAGTACCTTTACTGCTACTCTTCTTCAGTAGAAATAATGCATATGAACTATAAAAGATGTAAGCTGTGAATACCAGAGCCTTTCCTGAACTGGTGTGATCAAGAGTGAAATAACATTAAAACTTACCAAAGATCCCACCCACATCAAACAGTGTAGAAAGGTCTCCAGCTCTTTTGGCATCAAGATGCTCTGATGAGAGAAGCAAAATATTTGCCTTATTTCTTGACTATAAAACATGGAAATCCCAGCAGTCCTGTAAGGCCAGGGCAAAGGCATCTTACAGCAGAATTCTTTATTCAGAATAAGCCACAATAAGGTGATGTAAAAGAAATAACAAAAGTAGGTATTCAGCAACACAAACTTGAATGCAATTACTCTCACTGGGAGACATTTCATCACTTTTATAACCACAGAATTACAGAATGGTCTGGGTTGGAAGGGATTTTTAAAGGCCATCCAGTCCAATCCCTCTGCCATGAGCAGGGACATTTTCAATTAGATCAGGTTGCTCAGAGCTCCATCCAGCCTGAGCTTGAATGTCTCCAGGGATGGGGCACCCACAGGTCCTATGGGCAGCCTGTTGCAGCATTTCACCATCCTCATTGCAAAATTTTTTTTCTTTATATCTAGTCTAAATCCACCCTCTTTTAGTCTAAAATCATTACCCCTTCTCCTATTGCAACAGACCTTACTAGAAAGTTGGTCCATCTTGCACTCTAAAGTATAAAAAAACCATAACATCAGTACTGAACAGATAAGGAAACTCATTTACATTATTTTCTATGTGTTTTAATAGGACATTTCAACCATGTAAAATATTGTTAGAAAGTAAAACTTTTTTATTTGTTTGCAAGAGCCAAAGACCCAGAATTTATGCCTGGAATTACTGAAGATAAGCCAGACACTTTTGTTTGATTTGAAAATGCCCTCCCATAACACTGGATTCATAAACATGCTTGGTGACTTTTACAACTCTCCTGCTACTGCAGCAGAGAAAGCCTCTTTCAGAAGCAGTAATGTTTATTTTCTTATTTATTCCAAGCTTGTATTTGCAGAGACTTGGTAGCCATAATTCTGTACCCCTTTCCTGTAGTACTCACCTACATTTGTGATGTAGAGGGGAAGCCAGAAGAGGAAAGTGTAGCTCACCAGCTTTGCAAACAGGAGACAAAGGGAGAACTCCACGACTCCCTGAGAGAATAATGAAAACAGGGAGTTACTATCTTGACACAGCTATTTTCTTTCACAGACCATTATGAAAATGGTTTCTAGGAAGCATTTAGGCTTTTCTTTTTCTCTCATGAATCCCCAAGAAGCATTCTTCCCCTGAGAGCACTAAGCTTGCACTCTGAGCAGACTCTGGTATTGCACTTACGTGTTTCCTTTCAATTGTACTGAACTGCCTGAAGAGAGAACACTAAAATGGTACTGAATAACCTGAGCAGAGAACACAGAAATGAATGTGAAGGATTTTATACTTTTTGGAACACCTGCATCACTTGTTTCCGTTAAATAAAGTTATTATACAGCATTATAGCAGGTTTGGAGTATGTTCCAGAGAAACTGGTATCTTTTTGTCCTCTTTATCTCCTTCCTTCAGATGGGCACAAGATTTCTCCCCTATTGTTCAGCTCTGTAAAAAGCCAGTAAACCAGTCTGACACAGTTCAGATCAGAATGTGGTAAGAGCACATCACAGACTGAGCAATGACCTGTCTAAAGCTCTAACTTGCTCCATCCTCTTTCCTGCTGAGAACATAAAAGTGCATTTACTGCACAGAGCTGCAACTAAACTGCCAAACTAACTCATCTTCATTCCCTCCACCATCTGATAGCTTCTTGTTTGAAACCTGATTTCTTAAATCCCTGCTATGGAGGGCTGCAGTTACCTTGAGGAACAGCACATAGCCTCCACATGCAGCTGTGACCCTTCCTAACAATAGGCAGCACAAATACCACAGGCTTTCAGAAATTCTAGGTGGCAGCAGCAGCAATTTTTCACCCACTGCTTCCACTTTACCACAGGAAAAACAGTTGAGGAACAGACTAAACACTACATGAAGATACAGGAATACAGTGGATGGGTGCAGGATTTTTAAAATATTCTACACGTGGTCCAAATCAATCTGCAGCTGATCCTACTTCTGCATGGAGGCTTCAGGTTGAGAGGACAATCAAAAATGACAGGTTCCAACCTCGAGGAAACTTCCTTTACCAGCAGTCCAAATGTTTGGGCTGCCTGAAACCTCTCAGACAAAAGATTTTAAAAATCAAAGCTTTTTAAAGCAATGCTGAGGAATGCAAGAAGAGGAGCTATAGAAGGAAGTTCTGACACACAGAAGCTTATGGACTCAGTTTGTTACTCCACTCTGAACAACTACATGTCATTTGGTTCAGTCAACTTTTAGAACAGACTTTAGGACAGAATAAACTATTTCAGTCAGAAGGGACCTACAGCAACCCTCCTGCCCAGCTGCCAGACCCCTGCAGGGCTGGCACAAGTTGATAAAGTCATTATCCAAATGCCTCTTGAACATTGTCAGAGAGAGATCAGCAGCTCTCTCTCCACCTTCCCTCCTCAGGAAGCTGCAGAGAGCAATGAGGGCCCCTCTCAGCCTCCTTTCCTCCAAATAAATCAAGCCCAAAGTCCCCTGCATTTCAAGACTGTGCTGCAAAGTTAATACCAACTACTGCTCCACCTCAAACTTCAATGGAAAAATTAATTCTGAGGCAAAACTTAATTCTTAAGAGGAGCAGCACAGGCACTCACAGGTATCCTCAGGGCCCCAAGGAAGCTGATGGCTGATGTCCCGTGCCTTCCTTCCCCAGTGGCCACAGTGCTGGAGCTCAGGGACACGCTGCAGTTCTCACTGTCAGTGAGTAAATGCTGCACCTCTGGATCCTGCAACAGATGAGAGAGAGAGAAAAGAACAAAGAAACAAAATACGTGTCAAGAAATCAAACAGTTCCAGAATAATTTTTAAAAAACAAGTACCTATTTTATCACAGAAAGTTACAGCTTTTAAAAATGTCTTGGTGTGGATATCCAGGGTATACAGAGAGAGCAGAGACTGCATTGAGAATACCAGGTAGGATCTGGTTATTTCTGTCTGAGTGCATACAGTCCATAATAGAACCAAGTTTCTGTTCTATTGAAGAACAATTTCAAGTTGCAAAACTCCTACATATTATTAGTACATTCAGTGGAATAAAACAGCTTCTAATCTTCCCTCAGCCCACTACATAAATGTGGTCTTATTAAAGCTGACAAGCTAATGAGTCCTACAACATTGTGTACAAGAAATTCCTACAAGGATACATTTCTGTATAAAATCATGCATTATTTTCTTTCTGTACAAATATTAAGCTTGTTTTTCAGACTCTGTAACATTATCTTTCTGACTGAACTAAGTACAGGTCATCTTTCCATATGAATTATGGACAGTGAGTGCTTTATGTTAAGTAATCACTTATTTTTTTTCAAATCTGTTCCATTTGAGCATTGCAACCCCCAAATTATAAAAGCCTGGAGTTCACCAGCATTGCCTAAGTTGTGAATTCTGAGTTCTTTTCTAGTACTAGGATGGATTTTATTCCAAGAATTCCACTGGCTGCTACGAATACTTGTGGAGCAAGTTACCAGTCCACAAGAACAAGCCATCCCAGTGTAGCCAGGAGGGTTTATGTTATTTTTAATCCTCTACCAGACTGAAGTGAACTCTTAGAATAGAACTGGAAATTTAAATCTTACAGCTGTACACAGAAAAAAAAAAAAAAAAATTATGCATAAATAGACCTCAGTACTTATTTTCCAACTTGGAAAAAGGATGGGATGTAGCTATCCTCACTTTCACCTGCTTGCTGAGAGGCTTTACCAAGCTGTGTACTTTTCCTAGTTATGTATTCTACACACTGCTTCCTTTCTCCTAATTCTTTAGTATCCGAACAAAGCCTCAGTGAAGAATTAAGCCTCAAATATATATTTGACTGTGGGCTAGAAAGGATGTAACAGCAGGCTGTTCCATTTCCAGTGCTTATTGCAAAGATGAAAACTTTGATCAATATTTGCTAAGCTGATGGGGGAAGGAAAAAAAAAAGTGGTAGAAAAAATTCAATTCTGCTATTTTACACTCAGTGATTCTAAATAAATTCTGTTTTTAAAGAGCATCATTTAGGAGAGGGCACCAGGGAACCATCTGGACACCTGAGCCCAGACACTCAGCGTAGCTTTAGAAGCTTCCATGAAGCACCCAAAATTCTAGATGTGATTGTTAGATGGGATACAGGACTTACAGGAGTCCAGTGTCTGGGCTCAGGTGATAAAGCTTTAACCAGAAGACAGAAAAAACATCTAGGGACCTTTGACATGGCCCTACAAACCTATATGGCCCCAGAGTCACCCCATCATCATAAAAAATTATTAAGAATTCAGAATTTATCTTCTGAATTACTGGAGCAACTTCAAAACTTGAACTATTTTAGCAGCACCAATTCAAACCATAAGCTATTAATTTTTTTTAAAAAATGAAAGAGAGAGGAGAAAAAGAGGGAAAAAAGAAGAGTTTAAGCAGTGAATCTCCCCACTGGATTCTAGATGGTGCCTGAGTATCTCCTGCACAATCAGCACATCAAACTCAGCCAGGACTGTCTGAGGCAATGCTGCTCAATTCTCAGACAATCAACCCTAAATCTGTTTTAGAAGAGTGGGTAAATATTGCAGTAGAGGTGACCAAAGTCCAAATAACTTATTTAAACTCATGCTGGAAACTTTTGTCAATGATTTGGGGTTTTTTTTTGCTGCACACAGCTAAAGGATAAATAAACCCAGCAGTTTGTGCTTGGCAGAGGTGATGCTGCACAGCCTTGCCAGTTTGTCTCAGAGCATGATTAGGCATATGGAACACTCCTGATCTCTGGGGAAGGATTCATTATCCCACAATTTTGTGTCATTTTTAAAAGCCAACCTAACATAAGCAGCAATGAGCACAGAGGTATTCAGGTCACGCAGCCAAAAACACATTCTGCTTTCAATCACTGCAGATCCTGAGTATTTGCTTCCTTTTTACAGTAATTGCAGAGGTCAATGAAAACCCAGTAAAAGCTGCCATTCCAGTGTGCCTGGGGACCAACCCATGAATGCAAAACATCTGCTGTTTGTAGAGGCTCAAAAGCTGCCTGTGAAAATCAGCTCCAAACAACTGCAACACAACCCCTGTAAAAAGGGGAAGATGTTCAGCTTGGCTCTGACAGGAAAAAGATGTTCTTCTGTCACTGGCAGAAAAATCAGGAAGCCCCAAAGCACAAGAAGGAAAGGGTTTTAATGATTTTATTCATTTCTTTTTAAACCTTGTTAAGGCTCTGTATTACAAACATAGCCCAGCTGGCAGGGTGGAGAGAGAAGGGGGAATATTCCCAACAGTGCCAGCAATTCCCCCAGGTTCATTGTCCCTCTCCTGCTCCCAAGGGACACCAGGCAGTGGGAGAGGGGCACGTTTTCCTCACCCTTTACTAGGCAGATCCTTCACAGGGTGGCTGCAGAGGTTAAAAAGGAAATCTCTGTCCACTGATTTGCTGATTTATGTGGGTTTTTTAGCTTTGTCATCATGATTTAGATTAACAGATTGGTTGGGGTTGGAAAGGACTTGAAGATCATCCAATTGCAACCCCTTTCACTACCCCAGGTTGCTCTAAGCCCTGTCCAGCCTGGCTTTGGACACTTCCAGGGATGGGACAGCCACAGCTTCTCTGGGCCACTTGTTCCACTGCCTTATCACCCTTTCTCACAGAAATTAAGAAGAATTTCTTCCATAAATTCCATCGAAAGACACTTGCTGATATTCTTACATCTCCCCTTACCTTCCAGCTGGTTAGGAAACAACACTGACAAATGATTTCTGGGCTGAAGACTCTTGTTGGGCAGCTCAAAACAAAAATAATAAACTCAGTACAGAGGGGGTTTAAGCTGTGTTGAAGTGTTTCCTTAGCAAAAATTTCAAAACTTTTCTACCAACACTGATTATTCCACCCTCCGAATGCTCATTATTATTCTATGGGCAAAGGATAAAGAACAGGAAGTTTCTATTTTCCTGGAAAAGTCTGAAAGAAGTTAAAAAAAAAAGTTATCCTCTCAGGATACAGCATGCCTAGTGTCCTGAATACAAACACAAAATTTCAAATGGAAATTTTCAGTTCATGTCCATCACAAGATAAAATGGGTTCTCTGCCCACAAAATGTGCAAGTCCAGAATTCATTTTCTAGTGAGAAATAGCAGCCCTTATGGTTATGAGTTTTAAAGCAAGATTTTTGTGAATAATTGTGTATATTTAGAACTCTCCATCTCCACATATAATCTTGTCAGTAGAGACAGCTTTTGAAAGGAAAACGGAGAGAAGTGAGACTGCAATGATGGGTCACAATATACATAATTTAAATATTTCAAGTGGGCTGTCTTTGAAGTATTTTGCAGCGCATTATTTTTTATAGAATTGTGTCAAGATCACAAAAAAAAAAAAAAATCAATTGAGCAAGCCTTGCCATCTCATACAGCTCAGTTTGCATTATTTATGGCAGGTAATGCTTAGTTCCCCTCATCTGAAGTTACATATGTGTGTGAAGATGGAAGCAGATTTCAGCACCATAAAAACAGGAGCAATCTTTACAAACTGTAAATGTTTTATGTGAGCCTTAAGAAGCCTTCTATACTACTTTACAGCAGTATTTTATATTTCACCTGAAGTTTGCCATTTTCCTTAGCATTTAAGGTCGGCATCTGGATTCTGCACCGAGAGGCACCATTCAGGAAGGTTTTAGAACCCTAAAAAAAGAAAACAAACTCTATATTTTTGCTGCTTGGGATTTTTTTTAAAGGATTACATTAGTGTCAATCATCTCTCTGCAATAAATTTTTGTGCACTGTAACATAAACATAATCCCAACTGGAGCATCTTTAATTTGATGACCAAATTTAATTTGATGATGTGTGCTTTGAGATTTTCAAGTTCTTACACAGACCTGTGGCAATGGACATAAAATGCACTCACAAATTGATCTGAAGGCTGATTTCACACTGGTTTTATACAGAAGAAGTTGAATTCAGAGCACAGTCATGCCCCTCTCAACATCCTTAGCTGCTTTTTCCTCTACTGAACTTACTGACATTGCAAACTAAGCTTTTGCTCTTAAGCAGATGATTCCAGCAGCAACTACAGAAGATGATTTGTTTCATGAAAACCTTAATTTTTCACTTTCCTAATCCCTTTATAAGAGAAGTTCATCCCTTTAGCTTATATTCTAGAAAACTATATTCTTTTAGCCCATAATGCACTGTGTTCTTCTGGACAGGAGTATTGATGAGGAGTCTGAGCACCTCCAGCAAGTTCCAGAAGAAAAAATGAGACAAAAAGCTACATTGTAGGCACCAGATGGACTTGCTTTTTATCCTTACTTATTAATAAGTACATTCCTGTGTCAGCTCACACCAAACTGCATTCACTGGAAAACACCATTGAGACCTTTAGTCTAAAAAGATTTACATTCAGATTTGTCTGCTGAATTAAATATACAGCTCTAAAGAAGATTTGTTGTCAGGTATGGACAACCTGTTGCTAAGTCCAAAAGAAGTCCTGTGTGTTCCTCAGGGATGAGATGCTGAAGTGTCCAATCACATACTGGATGCCACATTAAAAAAAACAAACAAACAAGACAGAACAATAAAAACCCCCACAAACTCTGCTCTCTGCTCCAAATAATGCCCTCCTCAAGCTCACCACCACAAACAGAAAAAGAATGCAAATCCTCACTGAACAATCCAGCTCAAAAATCAATCACTGAGTAATTCTTCCCCTCCAAAAAATTCAGAGTATGCACTTCAGTATTTTTTAGACAAATCGCCCTTCATCAATCAAATCCTTCTGAACAGAAAAAATACTTTTGAGGATAAACTGTGGTATTTCTGCAGCTCAGTACAGAGCTGAGGCACAAGCAGTCTTGGACATGCATTCCTCAAAATAAACCAACAACACTTGAGCCTCCAGGGTCTGGTAACACAGATCTTTAAGTTTTATCTTACAGAAAATCTGGCTCTTGTCAAAAATGTGATTTACAAGAATCCACAGGGAAGAAAATCCATCACCTAGAGACAAGTCATCTACATTTTTAATCAGCAGCTCAGCAGAGGAAAAAATGAATGACTTTTTCATTTGACTGTCAAGAAATAAGATTTACTGTGGTAAGGAGAAAATGTCTAGGGAAAAGGACTAGACTGAGAGGCTGCACATTTAATACTTGGACTTCTTCCTCCTTTTCAGGAGATAAAAACTGCAGCCTGGTATTTTTTAAATGCACAAGCACTTTGCAACAGGAGTTTATGGGAGGGAAGTTTTCTGAGAATGCAAAGTTCAGACAAAGGAAGTTCCTAGAGTACAAAGGCAGGTTTGTACGAACATGATGTAACTATGGGGAAAAAAAGACACAGGGAGAAAAGATGAGAAGTAATAAAACCAGTTCTAAATCACATTTCCCAAAGGGTAAAAAAAGTTAAATCTCCTCTTTAACTTTCATAAAGGAAGTGCAGCAATTCTGAATAAAGCCCACCGACTTCTCACTTGCATTTGTCATAGGTACAGCCCTTCAGAAAGTCAAGATTAAATGCCAGCATTTAAAAGCACTTTATTGTCCTCAAGCATTTATTTGGAAACAAATTTCAGATGGGTAAATCAGAGCCAAGATGAATTCAGGGAAATGAAGCACAGCCCAGGAAACCAGAGAATAAAGAGAAAGAACCACACGCTCAAGGCTCTGTGCCTGACTCTCCATCTGTGGTTTTGGACAACTCAATGAAATCAGATTACTCACCACTACAACCTCTGTGGAAATATTGGGCTCACGACCACGCTGCAAATAAACAGTAGATCAAATTCATCCGAGACAGTGACATCATAGAGAGAGGACTGCAATCTCTGAATCTTAATATAAACCCTAAGTCCTTCCCTCCTGCTGAGCATTTATTTCAGTGGTGCTTAAATTTAACTGGCCTCATTCTCCCACAATGAGATTTAGTTTTTAGCACCAGCAGAGCTGCCTGCACCTACCAGGACATCTGGCCAAAATTACCTGCCACAGCCTTATGAGAAGAGCAAGTATGTATGTTTAATGCCTCAAAAAAAAAAAAATTTCTAACTATTTGCATATTTGCAAAAGCACACAAGTTTGTTCAGGTTGTTATGAGAATGACTGGACAAAAAAAAAAAAAAGACAGCAAGTATTTTATAGCTGCCAAATTCCATCCCTTGTATAACAGAGATGAAATTTTTTTCCTACATTATTACATGAACCTCCCTTCAATTAGCACTCACTTTTCTTTACAGTCAGAAACTGTCATCACCACATCTACATCTGGACACTTTGAATTCTTACCCAATTAATTTCCTCAATTTATAAGGCCACTTTTCTGTGGTGAAGAGAAGCTGTGAGCCCTTTCCACAAGGGTTTAGAATCCTTGCAGACCACTCAGGATTGAAGTATTGGAGCAGTTCCAATGACAAAGCTCCCCAGGACAAGGCAAATCTCAATCTGAGAAGGGCCCAAGGCAAGTGGGAAAGCCTTGTTATAAACTCCTCCCAGATTTCCAGATGTGAAATGGGAATAGGGAAGGAAGAAGTGATGCCTTTTGCTCTGCAGACTGAGGTTTCCAGGGAAACAGAAGGTCAAATGCATCCCACACAGTGAGAGTGAGCCTGAAGCAGTGACCCTGCTGCTGTACTAGTAAAGACTGAATAAAACACTCCTCCTCTTCTGCAACAGGGGGAAATAGTTCCTAAAATATTAAACTTCTGTTAAAAATACCATGGTAAATAGATACCCCGTGTCAGAATTTTCCACAGCAGCTCGCTGAGACATAGGAGCAACATACTGTGCAGAGATCTTTACTTGTGCTTTCCTGTTAAAGTGTATTTGAAACAAATATTTATTTCCATAAGGCTTAACTGGATACCCTGTAAAAATGATGCTCTGAACTACATACATTTTCCCCAAGGAAAATGGGACTCTGAACAGCAGGCAATGAGAGGCACTTAAAATACTCTCACACTTTACAGAAGTTATTTCTAAGGAATGAAAGAGAAATAAATGAAAAATACAGAGTGTAGTGTGAGCCCACCTTGTCTCACAGGACTAAAGTAAGAATAGGAGTTCCACAGACCATCAAAAGCATTCAAAAGCTTTATCAGAGGTGCTTCATATGAAGAGATAAAAACCATTAACTGGTAAAGAAGAGAACACAGACTAGGAAAGTTGTCTTCAGTCCTTATTCAAGAGCATTTAAAATGTAAAACTCCACTGATCTGAAAACATTAGGTGGCAAAAAAAGAGCAATCAACTCTGTACAATCAACCTGTGAGACTGGCAAGGAAAATGCAGAGTCCACATGAATCCACATGTACAGACAATTTCCATGTGGGATTCCCCTGGGACATTTATCAACAGCCCTGATTTGCCCTCAGACATGGGAAACCTCATGGCCTGCTCTGCCAATCCTCTTTGCCTACCCCAAAAAATACTTGGAAACGTGGCAGACCTGATGGCCCAAGGGTTCCTGGGAGCCAGGAGCAAGAACTGCTCCAGATTTTGGCTGCAGTAGAGACAAACACAGAGCAGAGTCCTGGGGAACATGAACCAAGATCAAGCAGTGAGCACAATCCTGAACAAGCTAAGAATGACATTCTCTTACTGGAGGTTAAACACAGCTGCTCTAACTCATGCTCTCTCTGGTGCCTTTCCTTGCTTTTTACTTTTCTCCAATTCCATTTGGATTGCCTTCCTCCTCTTGGGTTCCCAGCTTCACGAGGCAGAAAAGGAATCATCTCACACAGTTAACTCAGGATTTCCTAGGGGAATCTTTCCACCACTGACACAACTTTCTAAAATACTTAATTCTGAGCACACAAAATACCCCAGGAAGATGCTCAGGAAGACTGAAGAAAAGTAAGAAAACTCAAGAAAAAAGCAAAAAAAAAAAGAGATGAACAGTTTTTACTTGGTTTACTGTAAGATCAACTGTTCTAAGGCTTTAGTTAAAACACATTAATTCATCTCTTGATTCATTTGCTTTATAAGCTCCTGGTTTAGCAGTGAAGCACACAAGACCAATCATTGCCTCAAGCACAGGATCAGTTACAACAGCCTGGCACAAAGAGCCACACAGACAATCTGATTCACAGAACCATCTTAATAAAAGTGCCTATTAGGAGGCAAAAATCAAAAAAGGAAATGCATTTACTTACACTGGATGGTGTGCAGGAGCAACTGACATCTTTAGGATCTGAAATAAAATACCACACATAGCTAATAGTGAAAACAAGCCTAGGAAAGATCTCTTAAAACACTTTCAAATAGAGAAACTTACTGACAATAAACTGACAGTACAGATAAAAAGTGCTACTCTTTTTTGGCAGTCCAGCTAGTTACAGAATTCTAGTTATATCTGCCAAAATGTACTTCTGGGACAGGACAGTTACAGTAAAACAAGCATTTGCACCTCTGAGTCTGCATAGGGACAGGATGGGGCATTCCTCTTTAATTAAAAGTGTCAAAACCTGCTCCATTGCCAGCACAGAGGACGGATGGCAGCACAGAATGTGCAGCCAGGTGGGACCTTCTGCTCCATACACTGAAACCATGATCAGCACAGGGAGCTGATGACAGCACAGTGCTGAATGCTGAATTCTCTCTCTCAGGGGAGCTGCGAGGGGTCTGGGCCACAAACCAGATGAGGAACAGCTAAAGGGGCTCAGCCCAGAGAAAAGGAGGCTCAGGGGTGTTTTATTTCTCTCTGTAATTCCCTGCCAGGAGGGGCAGGGAGGGGGGGTCGGGCTCTGCTCCAGGGAACAGGGACAGGAGGAGAGGGAACGGCCTCAGGCTGGACAGCAGCAGGAATTTCTTCACTCAAAGGGTTCTTAAATACTGGAAGGGGCTGCCCAGGGATGTGGTAGAGTCCCCATGGAGGTGTCCAAGGAAGGCTTGGAGGTGGCACTCAGTGCTCTGGGCTGGGGACAAGGTGGGCATTGGGCACAGTTGGACTGGATGACCTTGAAGGGCTTTTCCAACCTCAGTGATTCTGACTGGATAAGCTCTTTGAAGGCACACAGGCTCTTCTCCACCAAACGTTCTGGGAAGGAGCTCTCTAAGTACAGCTTGAGGAATGGGAGCCCTCCATGGCTGTGTCCCAGGGAAGCACTCACGTTCAATAAGGAACAGGAAACAAACAACCCCCATGACAGCCACGACGACCCCAGGCACCACAAAGGAGAGGCCCCAGCATGTGGACACCCAGTAAGCAGCAATCAAGGATCCCAAAATATTTCCCACTGAAGTGTGTGAATTCCAGACTCCCATGATCAAACCTCTCCTGCATTAAAAAATAAATAAAATAAAATAAAACACACAAACCCACATTCATTACAAGCATTAATCTCTTGAGAGAAGTGTATCAAAATGGCTGTGCATCTGTGGTGTCAGTGAAATATATCTATGGTTCTTTAACTGATCATTTATTTATGCTACAATCTCCATCTGGCAATTTAAAGGCACCAAAATATTAATAAAGTGTTGTAAATACTCTCTGCATGACAGAATTTATCCTGCACTTACTGGCATTCAAAAACACCACTAGGGCTTGCTATTTCTGGATAGTTCCTTTAATTAAAACAATTACACTGATGTTGCATAGCATGTGGACACCAAGTTTGATGCTTTTGTAATTAAAAATCCTCCTGCAAACACTTTGCACTGATAACCTGATGCTTGCAGGACATGTCAGACTTGTCATGCAGAAGAAAAGAAACTGTACAGGCTATGTGGAGCAAATTCAGTATTTTCTGATCCCATTCTGGACTTGCTGGGCTCTGGCAGAAGATGACAGCTGCACAAGCTTGGCTAAGACACACATCAGGTTCCTGCCTGCCTGGAAACCCCAGATTAGAGCTGCTGCACATCAGCTCCATCTGAGCTAAGGTAAAGCACAAAAATCCCACTGAAGTCATGACAGCAGGGATTTTTTTTCCCCTTTTAAGTTATGGGAAAACTGCCTTGCCCTCAGCAGGATTTTACCTGGAGCAGCCTAACTTGAACAAGCCCAGATATTTTCCATGGCCTGAAGAAAAGATCTAAGAAGTCTGCTCATGCTTCACGAAATTACAGCAGAATGAAAATAAAGACCAGGTCACTGACATTTAAATCAGAGCCCTACTCACCAGGCCACTCTGTGGCTCTGTGTGCTTTTGCACAAAGCAAGGCCTGAATAAATGTATTTATTTTGCACAGACATCCCAGTCTTGCTCAATATTATATGACAGTTACAATTCTCTGCATTTCCTAATGGGAAATTAGTTTGAGGCTACATCTTTTTAACTATCCCGTGGTTTATATAAAAATCAAATACTGAATTTCAGTACATCCTTCTCTGGAACTGATTAACAATAATGCTCTACATATACCAAGGATGGTACCACAGTAGCATTATTATATGCTACATGCATCAATTATTATCAGAGCCAATGGGTTTAGCATGCAGCTCTTGCAAAATTTATGGAAAATTACTGTATGGTGTGACAACAGAAACATCATGAGTGATCTCTGGGCAGGATTAAGATAAAAAAACCCCAAGCAGATGATTTAAAGAAGGTGATAAAAGAAAGGTTAAATCAGTTGCCATATGTATTTTGTCTTCTAAATTAAATTTTCAAGTTTATGTGTGTTAGAAAAAAGGAATTGCACAATGATATTTTTTAGTTACACCCTGAAAACTGTTTTGAAACACAAACGAAAACAGGAAATTTCACATTAAAACAGCATAATAACAGCCTTTACTAAGAGTAGTTTTAGACTGTTTATATTTGCAATAATTATTCTAATACAATTCTGAAATAATTCATCTGAAAAAGAGCTACCACTCAAAGCTAACACTACTTTGACATGAGGGAGACAGTTCCAAACCCACAGAAAAATTAAGCAGCATAACAAAGGAAGCTCCTCTCAAAACTGTAACTGCTTTGTTTCACCTCCAAAAAAAAAAACCCCACAGAAACCCAAGAAAGATATTTAAATAGAGTATAATATCACAGTCCAAAATGTACTGATCTGCCAAACCTCTGGATTATGAATCATTTACCTTCCTTTTCCAAACCAGTTGCCAATACATGTAACGACACTCGGCCAACCAGTGGTTTGCACCAACCCATTAGCTATCTGAAAGTATATTTAAAAAAATAAATAAATTAACATTCCCTGTCATAAATCAGGTTCCTACACAATTCCTGCTGAGTGCTGCATTACGAAAAGGAAGTCTACAGAAATGCTTTGAATTTAGAAATTTAGTGGGGGATTTTGAAAGCATTTTTTTCCCCTAGGAATAAACAAGTTACAAAGTTTTGTAGATATTCTTCCCTCTACCTACATCTCTATAATTAGTTTATGATTTCAATCACAGAATACTGTAATTCAGTCACATGTTTACCAAAAATCACACTGCTCTGAGCTGAACAGAGAAGTGAATTCCCCACACACAAGCAGCAGAATAACACTTATCTCAAGTTGAGCATATGGCAAGGCATGTTTGCAATCAAATAAAGCAGAAAAAAGACAACTTTACGGGAGACTGGGCAACTTTAAAATGCTTAACAGACATCTGTAAATAAACTGAGAGAAGGATTTAATTTAGTATATCCAGGGTGAAGTAAGAACTATTTTAGCCTCCACAATGCACAGAACTTTAACTCATCTCAACTCCTATAAATCTCCCTCTCTACAATTGCACCATAACCCAAATGGCACAATATAAAACCTCATGTGCACAACGAGCATTTGAACATGCAACAAAATAAAACCTCACTCTACCCAACAAAAACCAATGGGGCTGGTGGTGTGAGACCACCCTTGAGTTACAGGGCTCACTGACCACACCCCACAGGGCAGAGACAGTTCAGCCCTAAAGGAGGCATTTCCTGTCCTGGAAAACACCTGGTCCCAGAGGGCTGGGGCAATGACAGGTTATTGGTGACAGGGGTACAGAAGTGCTGTGCCCAGGTTAGTATCTCTGCATGCCACCTTGCTCACTGCCATGCAGATGTGCCAGAGGTGGGACAATACTGCAACAACACAGAAAGCAGCAGTGCAAGGTGCAGACCTGTCCAAAACGGCCCCAGGGCCAACCCTACCCTGCTCCTGACCTAAATTCCATTTCAGGCCAACGGTAAAAATTCTTGTGAACCTGATCAGAGCTCTGAAAAATCTCCCACAGTGAATCTCGTTACATAAGCTGCCTGTTCCCAGCCACACCAGTGTGGGAGACTGCTCATCATTAGCAGTGTAAATGGAATTTTCCTGCAGAGAAAGCCAAGATGTGTCACTCAGGTCTTGACAGACCAACAGAAGTGAACATGCTTCTTTTAAATCTCACCCTCATTTAAGCTTGCAAAGATTTGATCTCTGATTTGACACAGAGTGAAACACATTAATTTGCTTTCAAAGATTTCTTCCACTTAAAAAAAAACAAAAAACACCATTTTTCAAAAATAAAGCCAGGGGGTATCCACTCTATCACTTCTGCCTGTCATCAACAAAATATTCCAGCATTTACATCCTCCCACCCAACCACCATCACCGTGTGCAAGTGAAAAACCCCCAGTATTACCCTAAACAGCACCATGGGAGGAACTCTGAGTGCCTAAATTAACTCTGTGCCTACCTGGGCCATTATGTAAAACCACAGATTATGCACATTATAGAAATAACCCAATCCAAACATGGCAGTGAAGAGGCCACTGGCGAGCATCCCCCCTGTCAGATAGTACCGGATGGGCAGCCGCTCTCCGATGAGTCCACTTCAAACAGGACAGGAAATAAAGAGAAAAGCCATAATTAAAAATGGAGATCACACCCCAAAAGCCTTCACAAATGAAGAATATTTTGTGTTGCTTAATTCTGGTTGAGGAGAAACTCTGCTGGTAACTGCTAGTTATCTTTGCAGCAGCAAAAGAGCAATTCTTAGCACTTGATGGGGAGAAAGAAAAGCCCCAACAGAACATTTCAAGTTTATTAATTGCTAAGTTCTGACATCTGCACAACCATCTTTCAGGGAGACACTCATCTGGAGCACATTCAAAGTCATTTACTTACAGAGTCATTTTTCAAATTATATGTCTCCAGCCATCTGAAGTGAGACTTGTCTCCCTTGCTAACGATTCAAGTCATGAAGGCCTGGCTTTAGTCAATAACATGAAGAATCTCCAAAGAGCAGCTAAGACTGCACACTTCAGGATGGGTTTGGTATTATTTTTAGAAGGTGTCTGATCCCATCCTTTGACTAAAGAAAGCCAGGACAATCATTTTAACCCAACCAGTGCAATTTATAGACTGACTGGAGATTGATTGACTGATTTACAATCTAGATGAAAAAAAGACAAGCTAGACTTAAATCTGGAAAATATTCCTGCACAAGGCAGTCAAGATTGGTGCAGGTAAAAAGCTTCCTATGTATCAGATTGATATCACTGGGGCACAGAATCATGTTGGTATTTTTCCCTTCAGCAATCAATTTCTCACTCTCCATCTGAAACTGCAGTAACAAAGCACAATAACCCAGAAGTCACACAGCCTCATAAATAAACAGTAAAGAGAGTGGGGTTTTACCTTAAATACATTCCAACTGCATATGCACACAAAAATGAGTAATCCAGTGCTCCCAGTAGCTGTTTGTAGTTGCTCTTATCTAAGAATAATTTTCAAAACAAATTATCACTTTAAATGTATTAATTACTTCCCAACCATTTTTACATATAACAAGAAAAATGTCAGCCAATGTGCACTGACATTCAATTTTCAATAGACACATCTAGATTTCAGTAAACATTTTACCGATGTTTTATTTAACAAAAAAAACAACAAAAAATCCCCCATCTGCCTCCAACATATTAGGAAAATATTGGCAGGCCCATTCCTAAACTCTACCTTATTTAAAACAGCATTTTGGAAGAGAAGAAACATCAGTTATTACCAAGGTGCCCTTTTCTTCTAAGGCCTTAGGCAAAAGGAAATCCAAAAATCCAATTTAACAGACTTGATTAAAAGTGGTAAGATTTGAAAAAGCATGAGGTCCTAACAGCCAAAATGGCTAAAAAAAGAAAAATCCATCATCATAGAGGCTTTTAAACAATCAGCTTAATATCTTGGGTTTTTTTTTTCTTTTAATGGATAAAGCCTTTTACATTTCATTTTCCAACTATTCACAAAGCACAGAGAAGTTCTGCTTAAAAAAACCCCACAGTTCTGCCCTGTAGAGAACAGCCATCATCACACCTCAGTGGGAACTGCAGACAGGATGGAGGGAGAAAAGGGGCTCCACCCTGATGGAAACACCAAGTCAACTCTCAAGGGACCTGAGCTCATAGAAAGTCAGTTTGTGTATTTATTTGCAAAAAATTGCCACAATTGCTATTGGCTTTGAGCACAAAGTCACAGATATTAAAACAAATCCCTTCCTTCAGTGTCACTCCCAGCTTTGCCAGAAAAACACCTGAAAGAACAAGCCTAGAGTGCCATTCCAAAGGGGCAGCTTGGCAATAACATCCATGGGAAAAGGAGGAATTTGGGCTGAGAAGTCTCCATTAAAAAGTCAATCAATATTTCAGACAAACAAACTCAATCCTCTCTTGGTCCAGGGACAAGAAACACTCCCCAGGTTTAAGTGCATCACACCTGGGGGATTGAATTTTTTCAGCAGACCCTGCAGCAGGAGTTAATACACTGGATTTTGTCCACAGAAACCCCAGAGCTCACATCTTTAATTATATTTGAAGAGAGTAGAACTTTTTTTTAAATTGCTAATTAAAGACTAATTAGAATGTATGGCTACACAGACTGGGGTGGACTGGCACAATGAACAGACTAATCTGTTTCACTGATGTTTCTGGCAGCAATAAGTGTCAAGGAATGATTCAAAGTCTCATTTGAAGTCAAATACTATTAAATTAAAATTTAATTGTTCAGCAGGCAAATATTTTTTTTCTATTCAAGTGAAAGGCCAGGTTCATAAACTATCCAGTAAGTTGTCAAGTCTCTCCTGCAATAAAGTCTCCTCTTTTTCTTCATTAAAATGTAGAGAGAAGTATTCCTTCAGGCAGATAAGGACTCTGCAAAGTTCCAATTTAGATAAGCACCAAGTAATTTCACTTAAAAGATTGCTTAAATTAAACAAGCAGAAAATGATAATGATTGATTTTGTTCTTCACCCTTTTTTCCTAAATAGACATGCTAAAGACAAAAACCATTTTCTGACTGAAAACTGATCTAGTGAAACCATCTCTTAGCTATAACAAGTAAAATATCACTTGGTTAAGTGACTTTTAGTGGCAAAAAATCATAAGGTAAGTCCTAACTTCACTTTCTGTGGAGAAATCAGTGAGGACATGGAAAACAAAACACCTCTTTCATGAACATCTCTCACATGTGAAAAAATAGCTAGAAGCAAATAATCTAATTATGAGTATCAGCTCATTATTAGGAAAGAAAAATACAAAACCAAAAAAAACCAAGCCTTACCAAATGGCTCCCATCCACACTGAGAGGCATTAAATGGCTTTTTGACAGGCTGGATCTGGGCAGCATATTCTTTGAAGGAGTCAAGTTCAACTTGACTTGCACAATGCTTATGCAGCTCTCCCTGGAACAGAAAGGGCATTTGAAAACGGAAAATTCACCTGCAAATTTGGGATTCATAACTCTCCTACAGCAAGAAATTCAATTCTAGCTTTATATGTAGCTGTGTCAAACCTACCAAAATCAGTAAAATTGTTGGCCCTTATGTGCTGGTTTTGCACATATGACATTTAGTGACATTAATTGCTTGGTATTTTGCTGGGTGAAGTCACCATTACATGCAAGAGTAATGACATGGTTAGAAAAACCATTCTACAGTGAACTGGTGATTCTGACAGTGAAAATCTTTGAAATCCTGCAGTAACATCAAGTACTTTGCCCACTGCTACTCCTCAGTTTTATGCAATGCAGCACTGGGGGATTTGGGTTGTGTTTGGCAAGTTGTAAACACTGAAGATTGAAGTAACAAACCCAGAATTAGAGAATTTCTGTCATCAGCTTCACTGGGAACAGCTACAAGGGTACAATGATGACCACAATGTTCAGCAATACTGGGAACACTCTTGTAAATGCCAGTGGAATGTTCAACTCATCAGTTATGAGAAATTTTTTCAACCATAAGAATGTAAACCTCTCAAGTAGCTCTAGTTAGATTAATTCACATGAATTAAGTGTAGGCTTAGCTGTTTCCAGCCCAAACCCCAGACTTATATGCAATGTTCTAGGTGTGGTCCCACTAAAGTTTATCTAGCAAATATCACTGTGTGCCAGCTTTATCAGTCTTTCATCTTGAAGGCATTTCAGGTTAAAGTTTAACCCTGCCTTTCACAAGAGGAAATACTGAAAATGACAACATCCTTATCTGACAGGAGCAGGAGGATGTTTAAATAAGGACACCACCTCTCTTACCTTCACTATACTGATAGGTTTCCTTGAGAGATGGAAGCTGGCATACAGCAGGAAAGTGAGAGAGAAAATGAAAGCTCTATACCTATGATATAAAAGAAAAAAAAATTGAAAATTATTTTATTTAGATTTTCTTTTAGCACCGAGTTACACAAAACCACTACACAATTCAATGATAATTTTGGAATAGTGGAAGACAACTTTTTTCTGTTTTCCAGCACTGAAGAACCACTCTCCCAGTTATGGAGCTTCCCATCTGCTCTGATGTGGCTTTGGGAGGGAGCCTGGTGGCACAGGGAAAGGCAGGACAACGTAGCAGCATCCTGAGCCCACAGAGCTGACCTGCCTGGAGTGCAACCCTCCTTTGGGGGCCATTAAATATCAGCTCAAATTATTAAATATCAGCTGAACACACAGCTAGATTCCACACTTCCCTGTCTCATTGGGTTTTGTGGTATTGCTAGAACATAAATGATGGCTCTCGTAATTGTCAGTTTGGGTAATTCTTTCTTTTCTTACTGCTTTTAGGATTTTACCTTACTTTTGCCTTCCTCTAACAATAGGAATCAGTCATTTCCAGATATGGACAAAGGGACTGATGCTGGAGCACAGGAACAGAATTGAGCAGCTTTGGGATTGGGCAGGAATTCTCCTTTGTGTCTCACTGGGATCCTTGGGTCTTTCTCTACAGTGCAGCTGAATTAAAAGAGCATCTTAATTTCACTATCACTGCAAACATAAAACAAAGATAATAATCTGATCTATTTTATTCCCTATCTGTAGTATCAGTTGTTTAAGGAGAGCATCTTGTGGATTTGTGCTTTTAAAAGTACCCAAAGTGTGTCTGCTGGCTCCTTCTAGCCTTGATCTTAAAATTAACATCCGCAAATGTAAGTGCATATATACACAAATATCTGATATCACACTGCCTGCTACAGTCCCTGATTTTTAATTAATCTTTTTCAATCTTTTTCGCCTTATGAACTTCCACATAACCAGGGTCTTGTTTTATAATTCTGGCATATTCACAGGAAAAAAAAGAGTCATCCCATGAACACAGTTAAAACTGAAATTACTTTGTTCCTGATGCTCAACTAGTGAAAATGTCATAAAATAGCTCAGATGCAAAGTGCTTTGTCTTTCATTTATTATTTTTTTGTTATTCACACACAATTGACTCAGTATTGTAGACCACATGAACTGATGCCATAAAACTTCCATGATTAGTTTTCCAAAACCAAGAAGAGTTTGATTTTTGTTTGGTTTTGCTGGGGGGGGTTTGCTGGTTTTTGGGTTTTTTTTTGTTTTTTGGGGTTTTTTTAATATTGCAGTAGCAAGAACTAAAACCACAATTGTACAAGTCTGTATAACACATCAAATTACTGGGGAGAAAATACACTTCTGGCTAAGAAAAGAAAGCTCATCTTGAGCACTCCTCCCACCTAGGATCTTGAAAATGCAATTTATTCTTTCAAATACATACATTGCACAGAAAAGAACAAAAGGCTTTATTCTCTAGCACAATTGACTAGTAAGAGTTTGTCTGGGTTTCCCAGACAAAGAATCTCACTTTTTAAATGGCAGCAATATTTATTTATTATACAACTGACTGTATGTTCTTCCTGTATGTACTAAGCAATGAAAAAGCAAAAATTCTGAGCAAGGTAACAGATACAAACTCACACTGTCCACAGCAATGATCACCACCAACACTCCAAGACTTACCACTGATCCCGTGAGAATGAAGTGATGAAACGAATCCCAGGAGGAAGCTGAGCCATCTACACTAGAGCTGGCACCAGACTGCAGGTGACACAATTATGTACGTGTGACAGCGTTATTTGTTCTTCTGGAAGTCTAACAAAGATTCCCCCAAAGCCTCTGGATTCCACAAATGTGGAATATCTGCTGCTAGGCTGATCTCCTTGCAGGTTTATTTTTTTTTCCTTCTACCTTCAGTCACGACGTGGCAAATTCTTCACTCTGCCTTTGTTTACTGCTGATCTCCAAACAAGAGAAGGTGGTAAGTAAATAGTCTGCTTGAGTTATTGGGTTATTTTCTAATCATAACATTTGAATCAGCAGTTATCCATTTCAGAGCTAAGTAATTAACATCACTAAACTGCACATCAAAAATGCAGTGGAGAACTTTAAGGCTATATAAATTGCAGCCTTCTCTGACTTTTATAATGTATTATTTATTTGAAGAGTTCGGCATGGTACAAAGCAGTGGAGACACAAAGGAAAGATGCACTCAGAACTTGACCCAAAGCCAGCTTCCATCAAAACACTCTGCTTTTGTCCCAGAATGGCTAGTAAGAGGCAACTCCCCAGCTCACAAAGCTCTGTTTGAGCACATCAGAAACATTCATGAGCTTGCAATTTGTTCAAAAAATGGCTGTAGTGTTTCCACTACAATGAGAATGAGAGACTCCTCCAGCTTGAGTGTGAGTGCTGCTAAACAATGCTGCTGGCAAGGCTTGACCAGCACTCCCTCTTCCACCCCATTTCCCTGACCCAGTACCAGCACTGCACAAAGCTCCACACCATCAGAAAGCCTTGGAAAAGGAAAAATCAAGTTTTTTCAGCACTTGAGCTCCCTACACCAGCACAATGGAGAAGGCAGGATCACGTGTGTCCTCAATATACAGCAAAGAGCAAGACTCTGCAGTTTGTTTTAAACTTTCACAAAGCTCCTCTTGTTTGCTCCAACATGACCTGAAGCTCCTTGACAATAAAAACCCCCATACTTTATTCCAGGTACTGCAACAGGAACTGGCTGAACTGCAACCTGGCAGCAGCTCAGGCAGGTGACAAAAGGAGCCATAGGGAAAAGGTGTGACCACAATTCATACACGGAAATCCAGCCACCCCAGCAGGATGCTGGGGACACTCCAGAGTCTGCAATGACCCCACAACCCTCCTGGCAGCCCTGTTTAATGTCAGCATAAACAACTGTCATGCTCCTGATGGGAAGCTGGGAGGATTCAGGATGAGCTCTCCTGGTAAAACAACAGGAGGTGAGCCAAAGCAAGAAAGCACAACTGCCAAACCCATGGCTGGTGGTCACCTGAGAGTTTTAGGGGCTGCAACAGGGCAGGCAAAGGTGTGAGACTCTCTCCTCTCCTCTGTCCCATCTTACAACAGAAATCAAAGCTGCTCGTCCTCAGCCAGGTAAGTGACAACAAACAGGATTTGCTGTGTCCAAGCAGGCAACTTGAAAGCTTCACCACCTACACAGGCTTTCTCCCCAGGAATAGAGGAACACTACCCCCTCCTTACATAACAGCATATCCTACCAAAAGATCCAGGCTCTGCTCCTTTATGATAACACATTTTTGTCATACTTCTATTTTTTCTAGTGTCCTGGTTCAGCTTGCCACCTCCCTACCCTAAAAGTGAATTGACTTGCTAATCTCGTTTGGCATGTTCCACCTCCTCCCTGGCCCTGAATCAGATTGTGCAATTAATCAAACTCCATAATCATTCCCGCCCAACACGAGTTTCCTACCTCCTCTCTGAGGTTGCAGAGGTTAGAGAAAGTGCAATCCTACCCTCTTCTCCCCCCTCCCAACTCCAGACAAAGATCCCCTCTCTTTTAGTCCTACAGCCATGGTTCAGGTGCCTGATACATCAGAAATCCTGCCCTGAGATACAGCTGCTCCAGTAGAGAACATTAACTCATTCCGTGGCCACAAAACTGCCATGTAGGATGAATCCAAGGCAGCAGGAGCATAAAGATAAGGACTAAAAGATGGGATTTTCCCTTACAGCCACAGCTGACTAGTTAGGTCAGATTTCAAAATTCCAATTTCAAAACAACTATTTCTCATCAGTAATCTGTGTTTGGTTGAAATGAGCTGCAGATAGCTCCAAGTGGGAGAAAAAAGGTAAGGAGAAAAAGAGGTTGGCATAAGTAGCTCACAGCAGGAGTGAATTTTTCCTCCAGCAGTAACAGATTCACTTCAGGTTGATCCCAAACCCTATTTCTCCTCTCTCCAAATACCAAAATTATTTCAGCAACCACACCAAGAGAGATGACAGAAATACCTAGTGGAAGGAAACCTGAGAAGCCAGCAAAGAACAAACACCTGAGGTCAAACACTTCCTTAAACGGTTCTCTTAAATTATAATAGGACAGGGCAATTATCAGTATAGCAAAGCAATTGTTTAGCAGGTTACTATTTAACAGCTCCAGTGCAAGCAGGAAAAGACTTCACACATATTACAAAAGGTTTCAGTGCTCAGTGGTCACGCCAGGTTGCACATCTGTACTCACACCCCTCACTCAGCAGTATACTCTTAGGATATAATCCCATCACAAGGACCCGGTACTTTCCCAGCAAAGAAGACTGGACTATCAGCAGCACAGAGAGAACTGCAGCCTAACTCTATTTGACAGGGGTTGATTTCATTTTATGTGCTGCAGGCAGGAACACCTGAGCTCTCATTTACTTGTCAACAACTTGCTTCTGTCTCCACATATATGTAAGTTCCCCTGACATTCATGTGCATTTTAATAAACATAAAAAATATCCTCCAAATGATGCCTTGAAGTTTCAGGTTTCATATTCTCTAGATTCAGTATTGCATTAGTGTATAACTCTGAACTTCATATCAAGTGTTAGCACGTTCTCTTCACAGTTTAGTCAGACAAAACCAAGGATACCGTTACAGCTTCAAAAGTGTAACAAAGTACAAACAACTGCGAATCGAAGAGAGCAATCTGGGAGGATGGGACTTCATAACCTGAAGCTGTAATTGGACAATTAAGTCCAATATATAAATGAACAAAAAAACTTATAAAAGCATGAAAACGTGTGACCCATCATCTCTCTTGGGTGTAGCCACAGCCAGGCTCTTGTAGTGCCCAAGGTGTATCCTTGTAAGGCCTCTTAATAAATACCTATTTTATTCCTTTAACACTGTCTAGCCTCTGTTCTAGGCAGCCTCTCAAGGCATCACACCTAAGCAAAGAAATTTGTGGCAATAAAACTTGTGATAACAGGTTGTAAAGATGACCTTCTGCTGTAGAATAAAGCAGATTCTAGAAACCAAGCTATACTTCAGAAATCACACTAATAGGCAACAACACATTACCGGCAGTTTACCAATACAATTTTTTATATTTCAGTTTAACTGATGAAGCCCAAGGGCAACGTCCCATTCAATCACTCAAACTTGTTTTATTTTCTTTCATTTTCAGTAACTATTTCTGCCGATAATGAAACCAAACCTCCGCTTCCTCCCTGCTGTACTGACACGTACAAAGCAATATTCTCTGAAATCGTATTTACCTTTCAAACTTGGTACTGCTCCTTCTCTGCAGTGGCTGGAGCATTCCTTCCTTCCTATTTCAGGGAAACAAGTCACTGGTGAGCGGCTTTTCCCCCTGCAAACACGGCAAACCCTGGATCAGCTGTGCTGGAGAGGCAGAGGGAAGTGAAGGGAAGGTCCTGCCCAGCCACAGCGCAGCTCAGCTCCCCCGGGGCTGAGATTAATTCTGTGTCTGCAGACACCGGGAAACCAAACCCTCCCCGGGCTGTCCTTAAGGGCTCGAAACGCCTTCGCACACACGCGGATCAAATGCATATTGTGCTTAATACCCGGCAGCTCTGCACCTGAGCCAGAACCTGCCAAATCCATCACTCTGTCGCCTTAACTAGCCACGTTCCCCCTGTTTAATACAGGGGGGAAAGGGTTTACCGTGGCTTAGCCACAGAGGAGCACAGCCCCTGTGAGCACACGGTGACCCGCAGGACTGATCAGGGCAGCTCCGGCCATCCCAAAGGTCAAGGGCAGTTGGACACAAGGGTTCCGGCGATCCCAAAGGCCACGGGCAGCTGGATACGAGGGCTCCGACCATCCCAAAGGTCAAGGGCAGCTGGACACGAGTGCTCCGACCATCCCTAAGGTCAAGGGCAGCGGAGCCGAACCGGGGAAGGGGCAGGCACCGCCTTCCTCCAGGACCCACAGGTAGGGCAGGTGTCGGGCTCTGTCGCGGGTCTCCCGGGGCACCAACCTGCGGTCCCACCCCTGAAACCGAGGAGCGCCTCCCAAACGACCCTCCCCGTCCAGCAGGATGGGGGGCTCCGGGCAGCGCCCGGAAAAATAAACGGGAGAAAAACAGACAAAGGGTAGTGGAGCGCCCGACTCCGCGGCCACCGCTCCCCGGCCCGGCCCGGCCACCGCTCCCCGGCCCGGCCCGGCCGCCGCTCCCGAGCGGCCCCGCGGCCGAGGAGCCGCCCCCGCTCCGCCCCCGCCGCGGGCTCGGCAGGTGCGCGGCCGCCCCCGCCCGCACAGCTTACCCTGGGCTGCTGCTCCCGGCGTCGCTGCTGTCTCCTTCTTCCCTCTCCTGTTCCTGCCAGCCTGCCGAGCCGAGCGGCCGGGCCGGGCGCGGCTGCGGATCGCCGCCCGCCGCCGGAGCTGCGCGGCGGGACCCGGCGGCCTCGGCCCCTCCCCGCCGCGGAGGAGGAGCCTGCGGAGGGAACCCTTCGCTGTAGGAAGAGCAGGGCCAGCAGGTCGGGGAGGTGATCCTGCTCCTCGGTTTAGACCAGGTGAGGCTCCTCTGGGGTGCTGTGTCCAGGTCTGCGCTCCTAAAGACAAGAGAGATGGGGAGCTCCTGTAGCGGCTCTAGCAGAGGTTGCGAAGATAAAGGGACTGGAGCATCTCTGTGATGGGGAAAAGCTGTGGGAGCTGGGGTTGTTCAGCCTCGAAGATAAAGGGACTGGAGCATCTCTCTGACCAGGAAAGGCTATGGGAGCTGGGTCTGTTCAGCCTCGAGAGGAGACAACTGAGAGGGGAGCTCATTAATGCGTATAAACATCTAAAGAAGTGTGCCAGGAGGATGGATCCAGGCTCTGTTTCGTTGATGCTGAGCAGCAGGACAAGAGGAATGGGCAGGAGCTGGTGCCCTGGAAGTTCCACCCGAACACTGACCAAGCACTAGGACAGATTGTCCAGAGAGGGTGTGGAGTCTCCCTTACTGGAGATATTCCAGAACCATCTGGACACAATCCTGTGCCATGTCCAGACATACATTGACATACAATGTGCATTGACAGACATACGTGAAGGTATTTCTGGTGCCAAACGTTCACAGATCATGCAGTAGATCATCTGAAAGCTGAGGGAAACATTCAGCAGCACTTCATTAAAGAAGAAAGAATGCATTTACTTTAGTTGTCTCCTGGTTTCCTGATCCTGCAGTGTTTCAGAAACCGTGTACCAAAGGTCAGTTTATTTATACAAATGCACGCTTCCTGCTGCAGGTGTATTTCTTCATCACGGCCACTTCACCAGTGCAAAAACTCCTGCACTATTTCCTTCATCCAAGACTGAATAGCTGCTAAAGTTACCTCATGCAGGTTTAAGTTTATCTGTGTAAGTCTGTCCCTTGTAGAGCACCACATGCCTGACAAGCAACCCCCCTAAGGCCCTCACTGAAGTGTCTGATTTTGTTCTCTTTTTCCTCTCATCTTGTACTGCCTGTGCTGGGAATCCCAATAAAAGAAACTGACTCCCAGTGTGACGTTCCTTAGGCCCCACATTTCAAACACTTAGATGTGCTCAGCTTTGCTCCATGATCCCAAGACACCTTTCCTTCACTTTCTCCCAGTCAGTACTAAGGAACTCTTCACCCTTATTTTCACATTTGCAGAATCAGGGTCTCAGAGTTGCACCTGAACCATTACAAATGCAGGTGGGTGCTGTAAAATCTGCTTCTATAAAGCTTGTTGGTGGCAAATGTTGATTCCATCTTTTTTGTTGAGATTTGTAAGTAGTGAATCAGAGATGAAAAAAATCATTTCTCTAAATGCTACAAATGTCCTACTTGGAAAGTTAATGTATTGTTCTTGATTGTCACCAACTTACCTTCTGAGGAGCAGATTTGCATGAATCATGTGGCTGCAGTTCTGCACCAGTACCAGAAGGAACCCAGGCACTGTCTATTCAGACTGGTGCACACACACACACACAAGAAAAAAGATTTGTCTTTTTACAGCAGAAAAGGTCAGACTCATCACAGTGCATCTGTATACATGGTTATCTATGCCAAATTATCACAACAACTATTCATCATCATGAGAATTCCTTATTTAAAAAAAACCCTGCTGCTGCCTTCGTCCTTTTAAAATTCCTTAAAGAATGTAAACTTGCTTGAGTATCTTACTATTCTGTACAAGCAGCTTGCAAAAAGCACGAGCCAAACAGCCCCAGAAAACCCTGATATTTTTCATACTTAAAGCAGAAACTGCATCTCCCATTCAAATAAATGTTTCCTGTAATCCATTCCCCTGGCATCACTGAAACCTGCTGGCTGCCACACTTGGCACAGCTGCTGTCTCTGCTATGCCAGTGTGGGTCACCAGCAGCTACAATTGCCAGAAGCCATCAGATAAGTGGGAATTCAGGGAGAGGCAGCAGCAGGAGCTTGTGCTGCTGGTTGCACAACAGCCTCCTGGTGTAGAGCATCACAGAGGGGCCAGAGGTCAGGCAGAGATAAAAGGAGATCTATGTGGTTAAAAAAACACAGCACACACACACAAGTTTTAAAATAACATGTGTATTCTAGAGCCTCACAGAAAAACAAACAGAAATCACGCTTTGCCAGTTGCTTTCCAGAAGGAAACACAAATTAAGGGTCTGGTCCAGGAAATTGTTGTGTTGGGTAGGAAGTGTGGCAGAGGTTTGGCTTTTTAAGCCCCTGGCAGTGTTTGTACCAGAGGAAATAGAAAAGAATGAGTTCTTGTCTGCAAAATCAAACAGAAGTAAAGATGTATGAGTTGGCAGATGCTTTTGTGTGCTTGTGATGGTGCTTCTGTCAGAAGAGATAATCTAATTTCCCACTTGACAGTTAAATTTTACTTCCACAAGTGGTGCTTTTAACTCCTCAAGTCCAGACAAAGCAAAACACTTTTAAGTCAGTGGATGTCAGTGTCATCTTTCCTTCACTGAGTAGGTGATGCTGGCTGAGCACAGGTCTGGATGCCAACTACTGCATCTCTTAGCTGATTAGAATATTTATTTTCTTTCCAGAAAATTGCATTAAAAAATATCTTTTATGGTTCATAATTGCACAGATGGAAAAGTTTAATCTGTTTGGCCATGGAGTGATTGCTTTGTCTTAGGGGAATAAAGAAATTCATTTATTATTTACATAATAATGGGTTGTTAGAGTATTTGACTATCTGAAAATCTACATAGACTTTATTCCTGACAAGAAGTAGGATTCTGAGGACTGATACTATCACGTTTTTTTGGTTGCCTTTATTAGTTTTACATGCTCTGTTTTCCCAACAGAGCAGCTGGAATATTTTATAAGCAATTGACATCAGCACTGGGTGCAATCCAGATATAACCTGCGATTGAGCTTTGGCAGCCAAAAAAAATTATCCAAAAAAGCCAAACAAAGAGAGGCTTTGAAGGCTGTGCCTGTATTTTTGGGAGTAGATGGGCACTTGGAGAGGCTGGAAGCTATCGAGCTGAGTTAGCACATTATGTCCTGCATGTTGAGAAATTTTAGTGCTGGCTCAGTGCCACACTAACATGACCACAGAATTTCTATGCTGGTACTTTCATTGCATGTATCTTGCCAGAAATCCAGTGGGAATCACCAGCTGGTAGCTTCAGGAAAAGACACCAGCAGACAAGACCACTGGGCCAGCACAGGCTTTTCCCCAGGCAGAACTGGGCAGTACCTGAGTACTAAAGATGACTGATGAAGAAAACACCCTATAACATGTGGAACATG